GAAGCGGCGATCTCATCCGGGATTTCGACGATCACCGGGGTCTTAGAGTCGAGCCATCTCTTCGCCGGTGACGGGGATCTCTTCGGGAATCTCGCCGGAGAAAGCGGTCGTTGTGATCCCCTGGCTGCTCCATCGCCGTGGCGGAAAGCAGTTCGGGGTTCACGGCCGAAGCTGGGTGCATCGGAGTCCGTATCCGTGCTGACCTGGAAGAAAGTTCTCCTTGGTGTCGGCGGAGTCGGCGTAGTCGAAGGTGCCGCCGATGGGAACGCTGCCGGAGGTGCTGTCGATGGGGCTGCTGTAGAAGGGGCTGACGAGGGAGCCGCTGAAGGGGGCCATCGGGGTCTCGAAGTCGGGAAAATCGCTCCCCGTGTCGGAGTGGGGTGTTGTCCCCAGGTCGCCGGAGGTCTCGATTCCTCGCGAACTCTACGGGGAGAGCGTCCTCGACGATGCAGGCCATCCGCGATTTCTTGTCGTAGTTGTTGGGCAACATCAGATTTATCCCACGATTCGTAGTCGTAGTACCGAAGGAAGTTTGTGCCAAAGTTGAACTTGCGCATCTCGGCGGAACGGAAAGTGGTCATCGAGTCCATGATCCACTCACGAGCCTGTGCTCGGTTGACCTGCTCGATGATTCCGTTCTTCGACGAGTAATGGTAAGGTGGTTCACCTCGACGATTCTGTCGCTGTACTACGAAAGCCTGTCGCATAGCTTCGTCGAACGTGTGGCCATGTTGATTCCAGCACGTATTGTGGTACTCGCAGCATCCCTGGAACCATTTGTGGCATATGAGGTTGGGCACTACCCACTGTTTGTTGAGGAAATCGGGGTGAAGAAAACCACAATTGGCCATGTTACAGTTCTTCTTCTCGAGAAGGCGGGGACAAAGCTGTCGTCGTATCTCGGAGATGGGGACTTGGGCCGTGTCGCTGACTACTTCGGGGTACTCGTTAAGCATCGACTCTGGGACAGGGGCCGTCATCTTCACCAACGTGCCCTCGCAGAGAAAATCGAACCATGAGTCGGCTCGGGTACGTGCCATGGCTACGAATTGGCTAGTCCAAATCGATGGTAATCGAAGTAGTGGGCTTGAGATGCCCTTCGAAGTTCCGCTTTCGAGCTTTAGAGGCAGCGGGTTCGGGAGTATGTAATTCCATGCCGAAATCATCACGAAAAATGTCTGCCAAATGCTGATTATGCAGATCGGTCTCATGCACAAGAAGAGCAGCGTCGGTGTCAGTAGGGGTGCATGATCGGAGTCGGGGTGTAGGGAAGCCTCGACGATCTCGAACGGCACCGTCAGCGGCTCCGCGGACTCGTCGCGGTTGGTGATGTGCAGGTACAGGAAGGCCTCGAGGTTGGGCGGTTTCAACAAAGTCGCCGCAAGATTGACAATGTCGTTCGCCGTCTGACACTGGGCGATATGATCGAGTGCCTTTCGTATCTGTCGGGATTGTCGCTTGTTCCAAGCTCCCCACGTCACATCCTCGGGTTTCTCGACTTGAAAATCTTCGAGAACTTGCTCGCGGCTGAATTCCTCGAGCGATTCCTTCAGACTGTCAACAACTGACAGAGAAGCCGTAGTGCTCGAGGTACTGGCCGCCAGCAGCGGTCGTAGTAGTGCTCGGGGTACTGGCCGCCCGGACGGCTATGACCGAGGAGTGATCCGAGGGGACTGAAACAAAATTTCGCTCAAGCTGTAACAGCTTGAGCCAAAATGGCCACGGAGTATACAATCATTCGACATGAATCGGTGAGTCAATCCCCTGACCGATTCGGTGTTTAAGTGAGATATGAAGTTGTCACTTCGCACAAACAAGTGTGTGCTACACTACTACTACTACTTCTTCTGCTACTACTACTTCTACTACTTCTTCTGCTACTACTACTTCTACTTCTACTTCTGCTATTACTGCTATTACTGCTACTACTGCTACTACTACTACTACTTTTTGCAGCAGGCCTCGTTGTCCAGCAGCCCGGTCTACGACTACTACTACTACTACTACTACTACTACTGCTGCTACTACTACTACTACTACTGCTACTAGCCACCCCCCCTCCCAACTACACTTGTTCCATCCGGGCTGGGCAACGGTAGCTGCTAGGCGCCTTAACTGCGATAGTTGCAGAAGATGCACGGGCTCAGGCTCCCTATCTGTGACAGCTGCAGAAGTTGCAGAGGCTCAGTTTCCTTAACTGTCACAGCCGGTGAAGTTGCAGGGGCTCAGGCCGCAAAACTGCGACAGCAGCTGGAGTTGCAAGCTCGACGGGGAAGAAACTGATAAACCCCAGGTGGTCGGATAGTACGAAAACGCTGTAAATACCGTGCAAAACCCAGGTGCTGCCAAGAAGGGTTTAACATTTCCAAAACCTGAAGCGCAACATCTTCTAAACATCAAAAACAAAGATGCCAGCTGTACGTGGGAGGGGCTCGCCAACACCGCTACCGTCCAACCTCTGCGTAGGAGGGTCCGTTTTTGAAGTGGTGTGTGTGGTGTGTGCGCGCTTGAGTGTGGAAATATTGTTCAGGGTGTCCGCAAAACAGTGTCGTGATCATCCCCGCAGAAGCTTTCCCCCATCCAATTTCGAGTATTTTTGCAAACAGTTCCAAACAGCAAAGTTTAATACGCATAGTCGAGAAGTAGGGGCTCAGAATATGTAACAAAGTCTGGCATCACGAAAGTACCGCAAATACCGAGTTAAACGGCTCTTGTGGTGATACTGCTGGGTGTGTTCGCGTAACACTGTCGTCATCATCCCCCCCCACCCCCCCACCCACCCCAGAAGCAAGTCCAAAATCAAGAGCCCGAGTTTGCAAACTCGACAAGTCGATTTTTAGGCCTCTTAGGATGATCGCACATGACGAAAGTGCCGTAAATACCGAGTAAAATGGATGTTGTCTTAACATGGTTGAGAGCAAGTGTAGTTGGTAGGGGGGGTGCCTACTACTACTACTACTACTACTACTACTACTACTACTACTACTACTACTACTACTACTACTACTACTACTACTACTACTACTACTACTACTACTACTACTACTACTACTACTACTACTACACTACCACTACAACTACTACTACTACTACTACTACTACTACTACTACTACTACTACTACTACTACTACTACTACTACTACTACTACTACTACTACTACTACTACTACTACTACTAGCTACTTCTTCTTGTTCTTTCTTCTCCTCCTGCTACTACAAGTCCAGCTCGAGTTGTGTACCGAAAATACAGCAAACACAATGTTAAGGCCATGTGCTACACCAAACTCGAGCACAGGGAGGGCCAGTTTTGTCCCGAGGAACTGTCCTGTGGTAACGGTATATCTTTGAAGGTCGCAGCACTTAAGCTTTATAGAAGGAATGTAGGATTTCTATGGAGGAAAGAACTTCCGGTTTGCGCCACTCGCACCTCGCACAAGGCGGGCAAGGCTCCACATAAGCCAGGCACATCAGAGCTAGTGACCACTTGGAGCATGTCACAGACACTACCAGAACCAATGTAAGATCATGAAACAACCCAAAGGATCCCGCTCCCAGCCGCCACGTGAGGGCGGCGGGACAGATGCCCGCAACTCTTTCAGAACACGTCCTCACCACAAGACCAGTATGGACATATACTAGCATCTACAAGAACACCGAATAAAACTCGTAACTGGAACTGCACACATAGATGAACACCAACCGTATGCCGGGAAATTTGTGCCCCCACCCGACCAGGCGCAGGGGTGTCAGACAGTGAGGGACGCAAACAGTCACGGACTTACCAACCGACAAGAAATAAGCGACAAGTAGATACTAGCCCTCATCATCTCAAATATGAGCGGAGCAGGCACAACAATTTAGGGCATCCGTAAAACACTTTAAGTAAAGTAGGGAAGCAAACTCGAAAGGGTCATACTCTCTCTCCCATTTTCCAGGAAGCCGAGACGCAGAAAAGGACGAGCAGCTTCGGGAAGTGCCAGGCGTGGCGTCCAAATGACGAACCAAGAAGGGCCGCTCCTCTTGGGCGCAGATGGCAGTGATCCTGGCCTAAGCTGCACTGCTTCTTGGCGAGCACTAGGACGTGAGACGACATGACAATCGCAACAAAAACAAGGTTTGCATCCTTCTACAGCAGCCCTTACTTGCGCCTAAGCTCCGGGAGTTTCACGGAATTTGAAGCGGCCCCCATTTTGATCCAACTAGTTGCATCCCGAGAACAAGCACCCTTACGCAACGGGTCCCCTGTTTTCCAGAGAGCCGCCAGAAAAACCCGAAGCTCTCCACACTAAACCTGGCTCAGGTGCCGCGCGCGCCGGTTGCACGGAACAGTCCCACACCAGCTGGCCTTAGCCACTGCTTTATCGTGTTGAACTTGAAGACAGCTTTCCCATGCAACAGTTCACGGATAGAAGCCGTATCTGCGACGTGATCGTATGAAAGCAGCTCTCCGATGCAACTGTTCACGCGGAGAACCCAATCTACTACTTTGTCGTATGCTTGCTGTATCAACCAGAATGCCGTGGTGATCCACTGCTAGCTCGATGCAGCCTGTGCAACACTTCACCGCACTAGGGGGGTTGTCGCCTCCCGACGTGGCTCCGGTTCAACGCACCAGGAGGCAGAATAAAGAACAGGGAGCTGAGATCACGGCCGACACAGAGCTTTCTGCTGAGGGCCCTTCTCCTCAGCCGTCTCGCATCCTCAAGGCCAGTTTGGTGTAAAAGCACAAGGTTTCGGATCTAGGGGAACCAGAGTAGGTAGGGTCTCCCTCCCGGCCGCCCTCAAGGTTTCGGGTGCCATCCCCAAGCATCCCCCGCTCGGTGTTGAGATGTGCTGAGCCGAAGTTGGGGCTGTTGGTGGTTTGCGGTCTCCAAGCCTTCACTCGCCCTCTTGTCTTGAAGCAGACCCCGTACTACCAGTTGGGAAAACCAGAACTCCCCTGCAACCCTGTCTTTCAGCACGGCCTGAGCTTCCAAACCCTTGGTTCCGTTAAGGCCCCTCAACCGAAAAGCCCGGAATTCCCCTCTAAGTCCTGCGCATCCTCGGGGGGAGCTGCTCTCTTCGAGACCGCTTGCCGGTTTCGCTCTTTTCCACGGAGATTCTCGGGCTCTGCGACCTCCTTCAGCATGGACCCGTCAGAGAAGAACTCCTGCAGGCTCCCGCTTTGGGGTTTGGGCCTCGTGGCGGGTTTTTGGGTGCTCACTCTCGGGGTTTAGGGTTAGGTGGTTTCCACTCGCACGCTCGCACGCAGGCAGGCCCGGCTCCATGAGGTTTAGGGAAGTTTCGGGTTTTGGGGGGGTCGGAAGATGGAGGCGAGTCATGGTCTTGAGGTTGTGGGTGAAGCATCCCTGTAGGGTTCCGCGGGCTCTGCGGTCGGGCGCAGGGTGCAGGCCACAGCCCATGTAATTCCGACTGCTACAACCTAGGAGTAGAGTCCCCGGTCCTGTGTGTGTGTGTGTGTGTGATCGATTTGGGGGGGGGGCATGACGGGCAGCTGCTGCGGGGGCTGTACGGTAGGTTCCCGCAAGAATTTCAACGTCTGCAGACAAGCCGTTTAATCCAGGGTCGGCACTACAGAGAGTATCGTGCTCGCGGCAGATCGAAACATGCTGTCCGAGAATGACATCGCTTCAACACCCTGACGCAATTTTCGCTGAACAACCCATCTTGCCAAAATTTGCGCCAGTGACTGACACTCTTTGTAGGGAGGCTACAACGAGGAGCCCACTGCCCGGAGACCTGAACCTGAACCCAATAAGCCCTCAACCCTCACCAAAACCTTGTAGATTTAAACCCCTTTTCAGCACGGACCCCTAAACCCTAAACCCTAAACCCTAAACCCTAAAAGAGAGTTCAAGGAGCCTCAAGCTTCGGGAGCTTGTCCGGGGCGCATCTCCTTGGGCACGGATTCAGGATTTGGTCGGGTGGACACTTAGGTGGTCGACACATATCTGCCGTTGCAGGGCCTAAACTGCATAGGAGAGCGGCCTTAATAATTAGTATAGGGTTGGAGCCCATTATACTATAAGTATGATAAGAAGGAACCCCAAAAATAGTGTTGGTAATTATTTCGGCCCCTAAGGGAATCTGCAGTTTTCCTAGTCCAGCGTAGCACTACGGGACGGGAAGTCAACACTAGACTAGACTCTCGGGATACAGAGCTAAGTTAAGGTTTACGGGTTTACGTTCTCGCAACTCGGACATGCCAGACGAAGGTTTACGGGTTTTTTTTGACACTCACACTCGGACAAAGCCTGGCAAGGTCTGTAGCGATCCTGGACATTCATTAACTAGCTATGGCACATATCACCAGAGCGAAAAAGCTCCCATGTCACACTTAGACACAAGAGCCAGCTGTCAAGCACCATTTAGGACGCGCCAAGACCACGTACACAAGCATAACATAAAATGGTGTTGACAGCAGACCACTACACAGACAACCGACTAATGGACCCCACAGAAAGTATCGAACCCAAACTCTTAGTTCAGTCTGCCCAGTAGCCCGGTGAAACAAGTTGCTAGCAGAGACGTCACGACTGTCCAGGCCTACCGATGCCAAACTCATCAGGCGTTCCAATACCCCATGCAGAAAACGCGCATAACCAAACATGCAGAGTTCTACCCTTGTCTACCCTTGTCTCATTCATGTCGTCGTAATGCAGAAAGAACCAGCATGCACAGGCCAGCACAGACCAGTAGGTGTTGTCTTGGTTGCACATGCAGTTGCCCGCCCCCTCGACCAGGCGGCAAACGTATCGTTGTCGTGCAGTAGTCCAGGGAAATTCCAAGTGCAGATAGGAACATGCAGAGAGCCCAAGACCATTCCAAGCAGAATATTTGTTTAAATTCAGATGCAGATAAATTCCAGATAAATTCCCAGTGCAGGTGGGCACATGCATAGAGCCCTAAACCATTCCAAGCAGACCATTGTCATAGATGCAGATAAATTCCAGATAAATTCAAAAGGTAAGTTTGTGCATGCCCAGGGCCAAAGCTATCCCTCGGAGTCATGCAGGTAAGCAGTCAGAAGACTCCCAGCCATGAATACTTTTGCAGTCGCGATATGCCACATGCAGGTAGCTCACAGTCCATGTGTCTCATCAAGCATGTAGACGCAGCCATCGTCCACATCCCGCAACACTCAGTCGAAAAACCACAAGTTTGTGGCAGTAGGCCCTGAATTCAAGTGTTGTTGTGGCTGTTTTTAAGAGGGCTGCAAAGTTTCCAAATATAGCCCTCTGCTTGCTTTGTCTAGCTCGAAATCAACATATAGAAACCAGGATCTCAGCCGAATTCGATCGAAGCACAGTCCCAAATGCGCCCAAAAGGAGTGGCCATCGGGAAGAGGCTCTGCAACTGCCGTGGTCTGAGTTCGCAGGGCCCCCATGCACAGGTGCGTGAGTTGCCCCCAATAGACCGAAATGGCCGCGTGTGTGGCCAGCTCGGGCATGTATTGCTCCAATTCCCGTAGAAAGCCTCGTATGTTGGACGCATATTGAACTGCGTGCTCGCTGATCATGAGCAGGTTGTTGAATTCACGAAGGCTCAAGCCATCGTCCCAGGTTTGTATGAAAAGAGGTCGCTGCAGTCCGAAAGTCATGGCGGCACACGGAGGTGAGACTCTAGTGATATCCAGGCTTTGCGTGATTAATACAGAGAGTAAAGCTGTAAATTAGGGGAGAGAGGAGCGAGGGCAGCAGCATCCATCATCAGATCATCCAAGCACCCAAAACATGAAAAGCATCTTACACGCTTTGGTTTGTGGTTTCGAGTTGGGGTTGGGAGTTTAGGGCTGACTGTCCAGGATCTCGATGATCTCATGGTCGTCCCTCCTGCGCGGGGAGAGTAGTAACGCCTTGAGCCAAAATGGCTACGGGTTTAGGGCTTAGAGTTATCATGAACACTTTCCGGCCCTTCCTAAACATTGTTGGCCGTGGCGTGTTCTGCAGCAAAACAGCGGCTTCCTTTGCTGAATGTGCCCACTCTATATACCATCCGGGATCCCTCTGTGCTCTGGCGCCAATTTTCTTGGATTTTCGAGTGGCCGAAAGTTTCGGGAAATCGATGCCTTTCTTTGTCTGTACCTGCACCAAACCATCGGGGATCCAGGGGCGTGGCCCAAAATACTGTCGCAGAGCCCGCGCCGAAGGGCTTAGCCCAAAATACCGTCACAGAAATTGGGCACGTGGCCTCTAGGGTTCTAGGGTGGGAGTTGTTCGAGGTCCACAGCCGTGACGGCTTCGGCTTGGTCTAAAGATTTCGGACGTACGTCGAAGCAACCAGGTTCCATCAAACCTTCTACACCTACCGCGGATGTTTGGTCGACACACCCTTTTTTCCCGTTTTTTGCAAAACCCTCTTTAGGAAAACCTATGGAATACTCAATACTACAAGAGACTATTTCGAACTCTACATCATTCCGGCCAGCACTGCAATCCAAAAGCCATCTCATAATCCTCAGGGCAGGGGGCCTGCGCAACTCCGACTCCCGGTAGACCGACCCAATCCGAAGGTTGAGGTTGAGGTGCAGATGGTTCTCGCAGCGGAAGAACCTCAAGAACAAGTACAACCGACAACTGGGCACTGCAAAAAAGGAGATGCGCTCCTGGCTCGGGAATTGCGACAGGACGCACCGAAGTGCTTGCAAAGGCCATGGCAGCTTGTCGCTCAGCCGCGGGTGTAGCTGGCTTCCAACCCCAGGCATGTTTTAGACTTGTCGCCAAAAACCACATTCAAGCCCTGGCGCCTCTCCTGCGTGCCCGGCGTGCTCGGCGTGCCCCTCGAGGCTATAGCAGGCTCTCCTTCAAGTATGTCAACTCTCACTCATCATCCATCTCATCCATCATCCACCGTGTCATCGGCGACCCTTCACTACCACAACCACCACCAGCATCGAGTCCGAGTATCTTCTTGCCTTCCCCGAAAACAGTTCGTCGTATCACCACCAGACTTGCGTCATCTCGTCTGCAAACAGGGCAAAAAACAATTAAAAATTGTTTTACCCTGTCAACGGCAGCCTCACGTCTGAAATCCCTCAGCTTGCGGCCGCCTTCCAAATCGCCTGCGTCCGGCCCGCCGGCCAGCTCCTGGCTGCGCCCAGAAGTCCCTTGTAGTATAGTTCTAGGTAAAGGGGATACTAATACAGTCCCTTGTAGTATAGTTCTAGGTAAAGGGGATACTAATACTAATACTAATACTAATTTCATTGTATTAATACTATTATGAATACTAATGCGAATATTACTACTAATACATACTACAGTAATACTAATATTAGTACTGATACTACTTTCAATTACTCCGCCCCATCCCACACTTCAAGTCGATGCTTCAGGACGGCCGACCTCTCAGAACTGATGCATGCCAATCGCAAATTGAGATCCGTACGCGCCGGAATATGGGATGTTTCTCAAGACTGGGGTTCACTACAACGAAGATTCCGTAAACCCTCAACCTCGAAACAGTAAATTCTACCAAGCACACGTCGCTCAGGAATCGACAAGGAAAGCCGACCGGGTCTGAGAATGGCACGCTGGAAGTCTCATCTGGCGGCGTCGCCGCATCAGCCATATCCTCCCGAGCTAGGTTCTTCAAAGGCTTCCATGCGATCCCTTCCCAAGTGTCTTCTGCTGGGCGTACTCGGTTTGATAGCCCGAGAGAAGCACAGCTTGACATTTCTTGCCGAGCTTTGGCTGAAGTACTCCCACGACGGCCGAGACCGTGAACCTACATGCCAGCACACAGTAGTAATATTAGCATTAGTATTAATAATAGTATTAATATTAGTATTAGTATTAGTATCAGTATTAGTATTAGTATCCTCTTTCCACATCGCACCCCCACGAGAGGCGAACTGGCCTTGCGCTCTTTGCGAAGGCGCCCCATTCGCCGTCAAGGCAGTGCCAGCTGTGAGCACGGAAGCCGTTGGGATGAGGCTGGTAACTGGTAACTAGCATGACCAGATCCGATGCCTTGCTCTTGTCCTGGCATGCAGTTCGCAGCCTTACTCGTCTGCTGCTGAATGCTGGCTCGATTCGGGGTGTTTCGGAGCCAGGCGTTGAGCCTTTTGAGCATATTTGCGGAACAAGACCCAACAGGAAAGCGTGTCTACAATATCTGTCATCGTTTGGCAGCCGCCGCGGGGCTTGGTCCGAACGAATTTGGATAAAAGCATGCGGCATGGCCCCGCACTATATGTGTGCTCAATGTCGTCAAGTCGGTTTGGTTTCAACCGACCCTTCAGAGAGCAGCGGAACTCACCCTGGTCCGCCAGCCTGCATCTTCGAAACTCCCACTGCCTCGGCGAAGTAAGATGTAGCTTCTGAGCATCTAAGACCAGCTGCTAACTTAGCCATAGCTGTGCCAGCCTTATATCTCAATCTGAAACCCCGGTCCCACTTTCGTTTTGCCTTGCCCCAAACTCGATCACCTAGACCCCATGCTGGCCCCAAATCTTAGCCGCTTAACCCCGCAATCCTGCTTCAACCCAGACAGCCCCCCAATCCTCAACCCTAACCCTACAGGCCAATCCTAAACCCTTAACCATAATTCCAAACCCTACAAGCAGCCCCACCCCAGCCGACCTCCACGAAGCGACCGTGCTGGGAGCCGCGCGGCTCCCACCTAAACTCCGAGCCCCGAGCCGAGATTCAGGGAGCTTAGGGTTTCGACTTCTGGGAGCTTTTGCCGAGGTGTCTGGGGTTTCCGGCTTGTTCTGCCGTAGTGGTTAAGGAAGGCTTTTGTAGGGATTAATGTTCAGGATTGTTCTTTGGGTCTTACGTTCGCACAATTCGGACATGGCTCAAGGGTTCCGGCGCTCATGGTGCTGCTCGCACCTTCGGTTAACTTGAAGTCGTTTCGGCATTTAGAGCTTCTAGGGTTTCGACTCACACGCTCGCACTAGGCTGGCATGGCATCAGGCAATACCCCGTCCACTGAGCTTCTAGGGTTTAGGGGTTTTACATCTTTTGATCTTTTGAGCTTCTAGTGGTTCAGGCTTCGATCTTTTTGGGTGCTTAAGTCAGTCTGGGATCCTCTCTGACACACACAGACACACAATCGGCAAGATAGCGAGGATGTACAGGCAAAGGTTTATCGCTGTCGTACAAGCCGGGTGAGGTAGTGGCAGGATCCACTGTTCAACCCGTCACCAAACCCACAGACATGACAAGAAGTGAGTAGGAGGAAGGCCGGAGCCTAGCGTACCTAACCCATAATCCAACCACATTTGGGGTTGAGTGGTGGGGTCAGTATAGTCTTAGAATGGCCTCCTTGTACACAGGGTCATGTCCCCGGAGAGCCCAATGCCATGGCCCTTCAATGAATTAAAGAATATACCTGAAACTACAGAAGGTTTCTCATTCTGATTCATACGGGGCCTCTTAGATTCGCGAAGAACACTCCTCTTGATGTGATTCTCGACTACTCTACGTAGGCTTCTAATTCTCCTTGGCTTTTCTGGCTCTGAGGCAGCAGCCACCACAGGTCGCAGGCTCCTTCCGGACACAGACAAAATGTCTGCTTGCCATCAAAGCACTCGTCACTATTGGAGCAGTTTGGGTTTGAGGTCCTCTGGCACACGCAGATTCACCGATTTGACAAGTTTGGGGCTTAGGGTTTCGGCGCTCTTGTATCGAAGAACTCGTCCATTTTGGAGCAGTTTGGGACGCTAGTTCGGGGCTGCTTACAGTTTCTCCAACTCCAGGGCCTTGCTCACTCGTAAGGCACGACATACCTGACCTCTGGAGATGCCTTGTCACTTTACCCCTTACCTTTCCTAGAGTTCCGGGCTTTGCGGCTTCAGTTCCGGCGCTCACACTTGCAAAGCATGCTATCGAGAGCTGGGCCCACACAATGAGAGCCTAAAAGCTAGACCCTGGAGCCTAAGAGGTGCTTGTCCACGCTCTCACTGAGATCTGTGATCAAACAAGTTGAACTAGTTCACGGCTTCAGCTTAGGGTTTCAACTCTCGCATCTCGGACACTCCACGCGAGCGACTCGATGTAAACATCCTCCGCGCGAAACTACTCTCCCAAGCACATTGGGCTAAGCAGGGACAAAGAGCGGATTGACCACCTGCCGAGATGACCACTGTGAAACACCGGCTCTTATCGAGCTCGAGCTACAGCGGCAGCCGGTGGAGGCCGAGAGGTTTGAGCATCGGACTTCACGTGAACCATTGCTATCGTCCTGAGAGTGCGAATGACAATGTCCACAACATCGAGCCAGCGCCCAAGCGAAACTTCCTTCGCCGCCTTGGTTTCGAAGCTGAAGATCTTTTGAAGATGCTCCTGCAGAACAGCGCGAGCATTGCGTGACATAGGATAGAGCGCAACATCCATGAACCGTGCCGCGATTGTTGCCGAGGCCGACAGCCAGGGCTTCTGCTGCGTGTTGGTGACCATGCAGTCCACAACTGCAGCCACCACTACTGTCGATCCGTCGAGGTGGACGAATTCCACTCTGAAAGGTGCTGGCCAGCTTGGCGGGCCCTTTCCAATGAGGGAAAGCTTGCCATCCTCCTCACTGAGACACAGCCATTGTCGAGCAGCGGAAGTCTGCGACAGCTGGACTCGTACCGGCACATAATCCTCGGTCCGCTTGTTCAGGGCGCAAGCTGGTATTCGAACCGAATCTCCGTTCTGCTGGAGGGCCAAGACCGGTAGGTTCTTAAGCACCGATCGGACCGACTCCTCCAACACCTTGCAAAAATTGTTCGCTCCAGGCATCTTCATCTGGTCTGTGTGGCGCGTCTGCACAGCCTCAAAGCGGTGCCAGTTCGAAGTCGCGCCCCTCCTGTTGACGATGTGCTTCTGCAGGCTCAGATTTTCAATGGCCATCGCCGCATCGGAGGAGCGTTTCGGATCTTCGAGCCAGTTCTTCGCCATTTCCCCCGGCTTCTGAACCCTGCAGCCGTCCATGCAATCACATGTGGAATTGCAGAGTCCGGGTGGGTCTGCGCATCCGTAGCCGGGCGGGTAGTCCTCAGCCCTCTTGGGCCAGCCACTGCAGATATCATTGCTTTCTTCATGTGGCTTATCGAAGTCGTGGCCGATCTGGAGGAACATGTCTTTCATGAGCGGATTGCCATCGCGCCTGTACCTCCCCATCTTTGGTGGCTCTGGCAGCCTCGATGAGCTCTCGTTTCGAGGGCGCTTCGACTTCACGGCTTCCGCAAGCTCCTTCTCCTTCTCCTTCTGCTCCTGATCGCGCTTGCGCTTGAACCACTTAGTCTTTTCTCGCAGCCTCATACCATCAAGGCTGGGAGGTATACAGTCGTCAGGCTCCCAAGTCGAACCTGCTTCGATGGCACCATTCTCCACTTTTGAAAGGTTCATTCGTGCCCAAGCCGTGCCCTTATCGCTCTTCCACTGCACCTGATAGAAATCTTGATAAAAGCCAGCATGCTCGTGGCACCAAGCCTCCCACGGAGGCATGTAGCCAGTGATGTCAGCGATGCTAAACCGGCCCGGCGCTGCCTCATCCTCGCTCTCTGCAGGAATATCCATATCTTTCACGTCTGGCCGCCGATGGGTAAAGCTTGGGTCCTCTGCATCCAACCGCTTACCTGTGACTGAAGTGTTCAACAGCTTCTTTTCGACATAGAGGCTGCCCACGATCCCGGACTTGTACTTCCTGCGCTCCTGGCTCAAGAGATTGCGGCAACGGTCGTCAAACCAAGTGACACCAGCACCACTCTTCGCCTCAAGCTCTTGCAAGACAAGAAGGCCTTCGTACCAATGTAACAGTCGGGCCGTGGGCACCTCGTGTCTGCTGCCGTCCTCACGGGCTACCATGGCAATAGAGCCATTCTGGTCCAACAGGGTAGCCTTGGAAAGTTTGTTCAGGCGCGCCCCGATCTTCCCGTCCATGAAGCACTCTTTGGCCATCACCAGATTGTTTTCCGGCGTTTCCTGCGGATGCTGGAAGGCAGCTTTTGCATCTACGGGATCCCAAATCCACACGTCTTTCATCTTGGCGGCGAGGTCAAACACTGGCAGGGATGTCCGGCCGAGACGCTTGCAGCAGCTATTGCTTCAGCGATCGCTACGGCCACAAGCGTTTCAAGGGCTTAAGGATCTTCAGCACTCGTAACTGGGACCGGCCTGAGGTTTCGGGATTCAGGCACGAACGAAGAGGGACAAATCAAGGAGTGTGTCCAAAAGTGTATGTGTGTGCGCGCACTCTCGACGGTGCAAGTTCAATGGCTCAGTGCAACCTCAGGAGACTGAGCCTGTTCGCGGGGCACCACAATAATACAGGGGCCTTAATAATTCGAATAGGGTTTTGGGGCCCACTATACTATAGTTATAATAAGGAACCGTGTATTATCAAGGCCCCTGTAGTAATCCCCAAACAGCGGCAGAACGAAAGAGCCACAGCTGACCCTCAGCTGTAGCGAGCGCATGAGGGCAGCTCAGCCGGGCCTGCTTCCTTCGAGATCACCTGCAGGCCACAGCTTGGATTCAAAGTCAACTAATGTAGGAACATGATTAAAAAACTTTTGGCCTATAACCCCAAAATAGTAGGATTCATGAACAGAACCCTGATAAATGCCCGAGGTTTATTTCTTGATCAGGTTCCTACGTTAGCCTTGAAGCTCCAGCAACTCGGACGGCTCTGAATGACAGCAGGATGTAGAACGAAGGCAAGATGTCGCGCTACACTTTGATTGCACAGCCAGCCTCGGCGATCACGCTGGGCAGCCCCTCTCGGGCATAGGATACCAGACTTGGCCGAGCGAAAGCATTCAATGGAAGTGTGTGTGTGTGTGTGTGTGAACATGTGTAGGCGACAATCGCCCGCTGGCCCTCGGCCCCAAACCCGGCAGAGACAGCAAACTCATGACCTCCATGATCACAACAGTTTTGCCACAACTGCCGAGGTCATCGTTGTCATCATATGTCGACATCATCACCAACAGCAGCATCATCACCACCACCATTACCATTAGCGTCATCATCACCATCATCGACGTCGCTCCTAACACGACAGGCAGCAGGAGCAGTAGCAAATCAGTTCAAGGAAACCATCTTGGCTTCTGCAGCTAGTCCAAGTACCAATCCAAACTCAAGCCCATGTCCAGGGCTTGGAGTTCCAAACCCTTTTGGCCCCAAGCCTCCCCAGTCCGAAAGCCTCCACCCTTGGCGCTAAGCCGCTAAGCTTAAACCCTGAGCTCCATGCAACCTCAGGCCAGGGCCCTGGCCTGCCCACTGCTAGTTGGCTCCAGGCCGCTTCGACCGCCGCCACGTCGCTTCCTCGCGCCTGACAGGGGCCGCGGCTTTGATTGCGGGATCATCGTAAGGGTCCCGGCAAGGTGCTCGGCGTTTTCAGTTCCTAACTGCGGAGGAGTTGGCAGCCTAAACTGCCTCGACTCCTGCCCTCCAGGAGTCGCCAACTGAAATCGCATTCATCATGAAGTCAGCGCGCCTCGTCCACACCTGCGAAGGCAATGCAAAACATGAGTTGCCGGGGCAGAAATTATCTTGTTGTTTTGTCCTTGTCATGTTGTTTAGGGCGTTGGTTGGGGGTGAAGGGTTTAGGGAGTTTCGGACTTCGGGCATGGGTTTTTCTGGGGGAGGCGAAGTGCTCCCACTTAGGATCCCGCAGCCTCTCTCCCAGCTAGTACGTAGCGCTTTGATGTTGAAGAACTGTTCTAACTCTTCTTCGGTAGGTTTCCGCAGTACTCTATGAACCTCATGCTGAAAGTTTGCGAACACCCAGCAGACTCCCGCCATGGAACGCCACGTATAGAATCTAAAATTCCGCCATGTGGAGCCTGCTTCGGGTGACAAGCGCCCGAACCACTGGTTCAGCAACGGCCTCTGCAGGGCTTTCGACTCTCACGCTGAGCCCAGGCAAGCAGGTGACGACGGGATACGCCGGGTCCGACCGCGTCTGTTGTCGACTGGGGTTCAAATGTCAAACGCGGCGCTTACCTTGCAACCTTCTGTCATCGATGTGCTTTGGGGTCTGTAGTATACAAGGGCTTACTTTCATGAATCTTGAACTAAGCACACAGAAAATTGGCTTTGGTCGCAACAAGCAGTGGTCATGAAACGATCCTCCTGGACATGCAATCGCACTGTGTCGACGACTCCAGAAGTTGCGCTGAACCAGCAGTGACAGGGTGGTCAGGTTCGCGTGCGCTGTTGGCTTCAATGGCAGCATCAAGAATCTTGCAGAACCGCTTGATGAGCCCGCGCATACTCGGCAAAAATACCGTCCGTCTTCAGCAGCGCGGACGGCGACCCTTCCTCGGCCAGCTCACCATCCTTCACCACCAAGAGGTGGTCTGCCTTGGCTAGGTTTGACAGACGATGCGCCACACAAATGACTGTAACGCCTTGCTCCCTTCGAAGGATTTCGACTTCCTCCTGCAACTTCGCCTGGGAGATTTCGTCCAGTGCAGAGGTTGCCTCGTCCAAGATGAGAAGCCGTGGCTTCTTGACGATGGCCCTTGCCAGCGCGAGCCTCTGCCTCTCCCCACCACTCAGCTCGCTCCCTCCATTCCCCACATCCGTATGCCAGAGGTTTGGAAACGCTGCTTGGTTGAAGAAGGTCTCCTCACACTGAGCAGCTCGCAGCGCCGTTCTGGCAAACTCTTCCGTAGGCTCCTCCACCTGTGCTTGCCCCGACATGTCCACAGAGACGCATCCGTACAGCAGGTTCTCTCTGACCGTACGCCGGCACAGGACGAGATCCTGGCTCACGAATCCGATATGCCGTCTGAGCCACAGTGGGTTGTAACTTCGCAGAGGCTGGCCTCCTAGGAAAATCTGTCCGCTGCTTGGCTCGTACAACCGCAAAAGTAGAGAAAGAATCGTTGATTTCCCGGAGCCCGTGGCACCTGCTGTCAAAGCAACTGAAGACAAGTCTGATCCGCCCCAGGACAGGACGAAGCTAGAAAGTGTGCCGTGAAGTATTCACACCCCCGGACCTAGAATACCCAGGAACTCGCCCTCCTTTGCACGGAAGGACAAGTCTCTCAGGACGGTCGCGCACTGGCGCTGCTGGTATTCGAAGGAAACGTTCTTAAACTCGATGTCCCAACGCACATCTCCTTCGATTGGACATCTAACAGCAACTGCGCCGGCACCCCATGCAAAGTCCCCTGCAAGGCCTGCCGTAAGGAAACACCCTCTTCTACTGAAACCGCCGAGTCTCCGGGCTCCGGCATGGAGCTCAAGCTCGGCTCATCCAAAGCCCCTTGGGGGGTTCGGCCCAGGAGGTTCGCCATCTGCGCCAGGGGCCCCAGGGCATGGGCGGACACGTTGGCCGCGGCGCCCTGGGCGTACCTCACCGCTTATGAGAGGACCGGGACTGCAGCAGCCTAGGGCATCAAGAGACAGATGACAGGCAATGACCCGTGTCTGATTCCGTTTGATATTCCGACGTGTTCGCTGCGCCCCTCCCGCCTGACTCCATCAAATGCATTTTGGGCGATGAGGACCACCGACGCGAGCTCTCCGAACCTGGAACAGTAGGGATATCATGGTCCGCATGCGGCTCGAGACTCCAAAACAACAGGTCGCGTCTCAGCTAAGCCCTTCTTTGAAAATCCTGCAACCTGAATTGACCAAGGAGCTGCATCTCCCCACGGATGGCCAGGCGGCCTCCGTACCAGAGCGTGCTGATCTCCAGCCCATGCTCAAGCAGTGCCTGGAGGTCGTCCATAAGACCGCTTTGAACATGCACTGACACGCGAGACAGAAGCATGTCACGAAACAGATGGGGATACAACCCATGAATAGGTGGCACTGAGGGCACACATTTTTTCCACGTCGCCACAACTTTTCGGGGGGTTGAAATCTCAGGAGGAGTTCTTTGCTGGCGGCCTGAACACCCAGCCTCGCGCACAAATCCCTTTTACACACAACTCCCTAAACGCCCTCGGAACCCTTGAACCCCCCAAACCGGAACGCAAAGCTGACGTCCGCTGGCCTGGACTGGCTGCAGCAGGCGAAATACCAGCCTGGGCTGCCCTTCCAAAGCTCTGGGGCAGACTGTCTGGGAACCCGTTGCAGCCATGCTGCCCAAAAAGAGTGTAAACTTTAGGTTGCTTGGGGTGCTTTTTTAAGCTGCTGAAGCCAAAGAAGACAGCCTTCTCCAGGAGTCCTAAATAGGCCGAAGGTCCGAAACCCTAAACCCCACCAACACCCTTTGCATCCGATCTGCAGCGACTCTACCGGGAAAGACTTGTATCCACTCCTTGCACAGGACAGAAGCCACGCCACTCGAACAGAAACCCTAAGCCCTCAAATCTAGAATTCCTAAACCCTTCACCCCATTAAACCCTAAGGCCTAAACCCCTTAACCCTTAAACTCCAAAACGAAGCAGCATCTTCCGTTGCTGCATCTGGTCGTGAACGGCCAGGAACCGGGCGAAGGTCGCCAGCTCCACGGGCTCTCGTGCGAAGGCACGCCTCGCTGAGGGGTTTAGGGTTTAGGTTCCTTTGTGTTTTTGAGCTCAGGTTCTTTAGGGTACAGGGTTTAGGGGTTTCAGGGTTCAGGGGTTTAGGTTTTTTAGGGTACAGGGTTTAGGGGTTCACGGTTTTCGACGCTCACAATCACACAAGGCAGGCAAGGCGGGTTTAGAGCTCAGTGTGGGTTTAGAAATATGGGTTCAGGGTTGTAGGGTTTTTAAATGGTTTAAACGGGGGTTTAGGACATTAACCCTTGTAAGCTTTTGTCACCAAAGGGTCCTTCAAGACATTCCAACAGAAGAACTTGAGACAGTTCTACACGACCTCACCTGGTCTCAGAACCGCAGCTCCACGGACTGTGCCGCACGACTGCACTGGCTCTCCAGACTAGGGATTAGGGTTTAGTTGGGGCTGCCAGTGCTCTGGGCTTGGATAGACCGTGGTAATTGTGAGCGTCTGAGGCGCATGGTACGCAGCGCAGGCGGCCTCACCAGCGAGGACCAGCAGCTATTGATCTGGCCCCTGAAATCCGGGAGAGCGTTCGAATC